GTCATTTGAAGCACTTGTAATTGTTTCTTTTCCACATGGTATACTAATGACTTACCAAGCTGACCTATCTTGTAGGTCGACCAATCTAGATTCTTGGTCTCCAGAGCAGTTGAAAATGATGTGCTTTGGTGGAAATAACCGTGCTCAAGTTTTCTTTAAACAGCATGGATGGACTGATGGGGGCAAGATTGAGGCAAAGTATACTTCTAGAGCTGCTGACTTGTATAGACAATTGCTTGCTAAAGAAGTTGCTAAAAGCGCTGCAGATGATGCTGGTTTGCCATCATCACCGGTTGCTTCTCAGTCGGTACATGCTACTAATGGTTTTCCTGATATTAAGACTGCTGAAGCTCCAAATCAGAGTTCTTTTCTAAAAAATGAAACTCCAGAGGTTTCTTCTTCACCCAAAGCTTCCCAGTCTTTTACTGCTACAACTGTTAAGAAGCCTCTAGTTGCTAAGAAAACTGGAAAGACTGGGGGTCTAGGAGCTCGAAAACTTACTACAAAGGTTTGAAGAGCATTTAAAGTTCATGAGAATACATTTTGTCCTCTCTCTGAAGTGCCATTGTAGTTCTTCCATTAGTTAATAGTTGAACTCGTCTTTTGCTTGTTGCAGCCAAACGAAAGTCTTTATGACCAGAAACCTGAAGAAGTACCTGTTCAAGTTCCATCATCTGACTCCACGAGTAGCACACCCAAATCATTTGCATCTCGCTTTGAGTATACTGATAATGTGCAACCAGCAGAAATTAGTTCTGGTGGTGCCCGTGTTCTTAGCCATGTATCACCTCCAAAATCTTCTAATTTCTTTGCTGACTATGGCATGGATAGTGGTTTCTCAAAGAAGACCAGCTCAACCTTGCCCAAAGTTCAAGTAAGCTTTGATAAAATTTATCCTGTCATAGTGAGCTGTGGAGTAAGTGATTTTGTAGTTTCAAATCTGCTATGGATTATGACCAAGATACATGTCTCTGATGGGTTGAAGGAATTTTTTTTTTTTTTTTTTAACATGTCTTTGGGATAACTGAGAAGGTGGTTCAAAAGGTTAAAATGATAGGCTGATGTGTAGTTCTTTTGTTGACTGAAGTGCCTGTGTTCTCTAGGGACATTCTTTCTCGTTTTTCAAAATAGAACATATTATCACATTGTGAACACAGTGAAACCTAAGAGTACCATGGAAAAATGGAAAGTGTCGAGAGAAAAAAGTAGTTTTAGATCCCCGTATTTCTGGGACTCATTTGTTAGAAAACATTAACTCATTTGTCTTTGTCAGGTTGAAGAAACTGATGAAGCAAGGAAGAAGTTTTCCAATGCCAAATCTATCTCTTCTGCTCAGTTTTATGGTGATCAGAACAAAGTAAATGACATGGAATCTTCAGTTTCTCTGCAGAAGTTCTCGGTATGTTGTTTTTGTTGATAGTCTAAGCTTCTCTGTTTTTAGGTGGGAACGCTTGGGGAGAATAGGTTACCTTCTGTAAACTTGTGTACCGCATCAACTCCTCCATTTTGTGGATGTTCTTTTCTTTACCCCCTGGAAATATTCAATTTTTTTCGTTTGTTTTGTTGTTTGTCACAATTAATTGTATTACTTTTCTTTGATAACCTGCGGTGCCTTCTAGTGGTTATCCTTTTCCTCTTTTCTGCCACATTTTTCATATGCCAATTGTTGATTTTTTTTGCAGTTAGTTGTAACTCGCAACTACTAAACCTAATTTTTGTTTAATAGTTGAGTGATATCCTGTGAATCTAGACATTTTAGGTGAACGTGGGTTCTTTTCATTGGCATTAGTGCCCTATTTATGGGTACAGATGCACATTTTGTTATTTACCAGATATTGGTTTGGGATACCTACACTGTTAAACCATTTGTGCCAACTTTTTCAGTTTCATTGGATAATTGATCTATATTTTACTGGTTGTAGACCCCCCCTCTCTCTGTGTGATAAAGTATGTTTTTTTTTGTCTTTGTCCAAAGGAAGTTTGGTTTGAACCTTTTGCCCGTTGGATATGAATAAGTGCGTGAATTCAGATGTACATATGATACTTTTTGAACAAATTTAGTGTAGCTTTTATAGTATTTCTGCTGTATATTTGGACGTTCGGTTTTCCTTTTCCTTTTTTTCTACAGTCTCATCTAAAACATCAAGCTTTTCTGGTTGGTTTCTGTGTGTTTCATATTAATTTATTTAGTGGTGAGGTTTCTTGTTCGTTCCAATCTGAACTTGAAAGCTGGATGAAGGATATATTGGCTCAGACGACTGGTACTAGCTGTTTTAGCTTAGATGACTTGTATTTTCGTACTTGTCTAGTTATTTATCGTGTCCCCTCTGACCCCCTAGCCCCCTTGACCACCTTATTTTGTTTGTTTGAGACAGCTTAATCTCCAGAACTGACGATGTTAAGGGACTTGTGTTGGTGTGTGCGATAATAATGCTAGACACTGGTTCAATAATGATTGGTTTACGAGAATTTGGACATGACTGCCTCTAACGAGCATTGGCACTCAACTAACTCTTTCTTTCATATCCTTTTATTGTTTCATAGGGTTCAAATGCAATCTCCAGTGCTGATCTCTTTGGTCACCGTGGCAATAATTCTTCTGTTGATGTCACAGCTAGTGATCTGATTGACCGGCTGTCTTTTCAGGTATGGCAATTGTGATGTAGATTGCAACTGCTATATTGATGAAATAATTCTTTCTTTTTTGAGTCTCATAGCACCACCTTTGTATCAGAGCACATAAAATTTAGTTCCATTTCCACAGGCACAGCAAGATCTCTCTTCCCTCAAGATTATTGCAGGAGAAACTGGGAAGAAGCTCAGCTCTCTTGCCTCCTCCTTGATGTCGGATCTTCAGGACAGAATCCTCTGAGGGAGCTGCATTTTGTATGTACAATCTAGAGGACTTTGTTACAGAGCTGCAAAAGAAATATGTAGATGTAAAAAGTTAAATCTTTAAAATTTTTACGGAAGACAAATAAGATTTTAAAATTCCTAGGATTATGAGATGACACCATTATTTTGTAACCATCATGGTGGTGTATGTGGCCTTCTCTGGCTATTTCATAGATTTTATCCTTTGGACTGGCCTTGTGTATTTTGTTCTGAATGATGATGCAACACAAGTTTTTCCTTTGGGCTGGCCTTTAATTCCTTTTTTTTTTTTCTCAATGATGTAACCCAAATGGGATTTAAACCATTTACCAATTTAAGTTCTATCGGCCCTTTTACGTAATCTTATCTCAGCCAGGTTTAAGTATATTATCAAATTTGAGAAAGGGCTGCATCTTACCAAGTATTACAGAAAGAAAGACACGTTGAAGTATGTGTTCTATATGTTTTGTTATGGTAAGAACATTTTTTTTTTAAACTTCCCCACCCCAAATCATTGGCGCAACATTTGAGCTTTTAGAAGCATGATCAAAGTTTAGAACTATCTGGGAGGAAAACAGTGGTTGTAGCGTCGATCAACAACTGAACCTGTCCAGCTTTCCTCTTCTTACTGGGCTCTACCAACAGCTGTGTGAGAAACCATGATGGCCATAAAGATGTGTACTTGACTCCCAAAATAGCTAAAATTGCAGTAGCCTTGTCCTGGATTTTTAATTGCTCTTCATCAGAGTTTGTTTGGGTTCGGAATTGAATTAGATGTGGTAATTTTTACATTGTAAAGATTCCAGGGATCATCACCTCAAAATCAAATTTGCTCAAGCTTGTTTTAATGAGAAACAAGTCAAATCTCCAATGAGTTTTTCTGTGGTTAACTGTTAAAAAGCATTAAGTTGTTCGTCCATAGTAGTGCATGTTTATTTCTTGTGTCTGGAAAAGATTTAAATTTGTCAAGTTTTGAAGTTTTGGGTTTTAATTCTCTGTCTCCTTCCTGCTTCTTAAAAAAAAAAAAAGTATATCATAGTATTAGTCGAATTATTCCTTCTTGTTGAGATTCTGAGTTCTAAATGTCGGACTCACTCCCTATGAAAGTGTCCGCCATTTGATATGTAAAAGTACATCAGCATGGGCTCGTTGAAGAACTTGAAGTTGAAAACGTAATGTCAGGCACTAAACCTACAAATAAAGGTTTTGTATCCAGTAGTTTTCGCTTTGCTTTCTTCTAGGTTCAGAAGGATTAAGCATTAGTTTTATCTGGCATCATGCCAGATTGTAAAAGACTGAAAGCTGATATAAGTTTATTGTGGGTACGTATTCGAGTATTTGATTGCCTTCTTGCCCTGCAAATTTTGATAGAAAATTAGATCATCCGAGAAATGTTATTCTAGTTTGGACCATCTAATACTTGGTTTTTAACCAATTCAAATTATCCAAGTAAAATGATAGAACTCATTAGCTCTACACGTACATAACCCAAATCTCTTGTTTGTCCAATTGAGAGTATATTTGGTAAATCTAATACTTGGTTTTTTATCAATTACTATTAACTAAATGAGATCATAGAACTCGTTAACTCGACTAGTATATGGTCAAGTAAGATTGTGGAGTTCTTGTTTGTTCATTTTTTTTTTGTTGAAACAGGAGTGTCTTGACTTACGCCAGACTAATTTCTTATGACAGTGCAGAACCTATTCAAGATTTACAGCATGTTACCAGCGGGAATCGATCTGATAATTTCGAGTAAAAACCTAAAGGCGATTACCATACGAGCTGCCCGCTGGGACATGGGGCTATTGTTTATTCAATTGAGACTACAAATTGGTCAAAAAAAAAAAAGGGCTAAAATAGTTGGTCCAAGATAAACATTTTTCGGATCATCCTGCCATAGTGCCACATGTAGGAGGTAGGGATGTACTTTTGTATTACAAATTCACAATCAGGCAGAGAGAGAGAGAGAGAGAGAGAAATGGATGTCCAATCCATTTTGCATTTTCTTCGAATAAGGAGGGTCATCTTGTAATTTGACTAAATCTCAGGGTCCAACTTGCAGTTTGGCCAAATCTTAGGGGACTTAAGCGTAATTGATCCTTTAAATTTCGAGCAGACTCGGTTACGAAGACAAATTGACAGTCCTCTGCTCAATTCGATCGATTCACCCCAAATTTCACTTGAGAAAACGCCAAGTTAATTGGATTTTCACGATAATTTATCTTTTTTCCAAGAAACGTTGCCGGATAGCAATTTCTCCTCCGATTTTGATTGCTTTCTTGAAGATGATGACTCTAAAGATGGTGAAATTGAGGAGAACGAGTTGAAATCCCCTGCCCTATCCACGATTACTCGCCCCAGTTGGCCTAGCTTGAATCCGTCGAGTTTGGGTGCGATGGAGTTGGAAGATTGCAAGGCTTCTGAGGGTTCTTCGTAGATTGATTGGTCTTCTCCTACAGGTTTTGCCCAGAGCATTGCGGATGAAGCAGGTTTGCCATCATTACCAGTCAATTCTCAGCCAGAATAAGCTACTAATTATTGTTTTCTTGAAACCAATTGCTGAAACTCAAAACGAGAATTCTTCGTTGAGAAATGAAACTGCAGAGGTTTCTTCTTTACCCAATGCTTCCGATACTGTTACCATCGCAACTGTGAAGCAGCCTCTATAGGTGCTAAGAGAACTGGAAACACTAGGGGCCTGCGAGTTTAAAAACTTGCTAAAACGGTTTTGCAGATCATTAACATTCTTGAATGAATTTTATTCTCTAGCTGAAATGTCATTGTAATTTTTGCAATGATAAATTGTTGAACTCTTTTGGCTGTTGCAGCCAAATGAAAGTCTTTATGACCAGAAGCCTGAAGAACCACCCGTTCTAGTTCCATCATCGGACTCCGCCAATAGCACGCCCAAATCCTTTGCAACTCGCTTTCAGTACATAGACAATCCGCAACCAGCAGATAATAGTTCTGGAGGCGCACGTGTTCATAGCCGTGTATCACCACTAAAATCTTCCAATTTGTTTGCTGAATATGAGATGGATAGTTGTTTGTCAAAGGAGACTAGCTCAACTATGCCCAAAGTTCAAGCAAGCATTGAACGTGTGTGTGTATATATATGTATGTGTCTACACACACACACACACACACACACACACACACACACACACACCCCGAAGTGCTTGTGTTCTCGAGAAACATTAATTCTTGTTTGTGATAATAAAACCATCTATCAAGTTGTGAACCCAGTGAAATTTGAGAATATGAATTTGAAAGAAGGAAGTAGTGTTAGCATCCAGGTGTTTGAATAGTTAGAGCCTTGTAGTTCTTGGACTAATTTTAGTAACATTAATTAGTTATTATCTTTATCAGGTTGAAGAAACTGATGAAGCGAGGAAGAGATTTCCCAATGCTAAATCTATCTCTTCTGCTCAGTTTTTTGGAGATCAGAACAAAGTGAATGACATGGGAACTTCAGTTTCTCTGCAGAAGTTCTCGGTATGTTGTTTCCTTGGTAGTCCTCTGACTTTTCTGTTTTTAGATGGGAATTTAAGGGGACAAACAATTGCCTAGAGTATGTACAGCGTAAACTCCTTCACTTTGTGGATGGTTTTTTCTTTTGGCCCTGGGCATATTCCTTTTTTTTTTTTTTCAATTTGTCTTGATTGTTCCACTGGATTTGTTGTATTACTTCTCTTTTTGGACATGTATCTTTGATAAATCTGCAGTGCCTTGGTGTGGTTATTCTTTTCCTCTTTCCTTCTGCATTGTTTAATACTTCTACCCATTATGGTTTTGTGAGGTTTGTTTGTGTAGGCGAATTATAAACCTATAGTTCTATTGATCTCCTGTGAATTGGATTTTCATGGGTAAAAGTGCTTTATTTATGGTTCAGATGCTGATTATGCCATTATATCTCTTGTCGTGTTAATGACCAGATGTGAGTTTAGGACACCTGTAGTGTTATGACGTTTGTGCTATCTGTTTAAGCTTCAGTTCATAGTTTATCTACATATTACTGGTTGTACACTATCTTTCTCTGATATTGAAATATGTAGTTTTGTCTTTATCCAATTGAAGTGTGGTTTGACCCTCTGGTCTGTTGGATAAGTACCAGGACATGCATTTAGACGTTCATATGATATTTTCTGAACAACATTAGTGTACCTTATGTGGTATTCTACTATGTATTTGGACTTTAGTGTTTGTTTTGTATAGCATGATCTAAAGCATCAAGCCTTTGTGTTTTGTTTTAAAGTGGTTTTTTAAAAGGTTTATCTAAATGTTGAGGTTTAATTTTTGGTTCCAATCTGAACTTTAAAGCTGGATGAAATATACCAACGGTTCAGTATATCATACGTCTAAAGACTGGTACTAAAGATTCAGTCGTTGTTGTTTTGGCTCGTATGTTTTGTATTTTCTTCTTTTCTTCTTTTTTGTGTCAGCTTAATTTCCAGAACTGAAAGTTTTATCAGGCCTGTGTTGGTCTATGCAATAGTAATGGTAGATACAAGTTCAATCGTGATCAGCTTATGCAAATTTTGACCCTGTAGATTTCATGTATCTTAAATGACCTTTAGGTAGACATGAGCACCTTTAGTGAGCATCGGAACACGATTAACTTTATTTGTTTTTTTTTTTGAATTGTTTCATAGGGTTCAAATGCAATCTCTAGTGCTGATCTCTTTGGTCAACAGTGCAACAATTCATCTGTTGATGTCACAGCTGGAGATCTGATTGACTGGTTGAAATTACAGGTGTGGCAACTATGGTGTTTAAAAGCGACCAGTATATTTGATGAAATCATTCTTGCTTTCTTAGTGTCTCATAACCACCTTTGGATCAGAGTATAACATTTCATCTAAGCTAATATTTTGTCCATATCTATCTACAGGCGCAGCAGGATTTCTCTTCATTTAAGATTATGGCAGGCGAAACTTGGAAGAAGCTCAGCTCCCTTGCATCCACTTTAATGTCAAATCTCCAGGAGGAAGTGTCGAATCTCCAGGAGAGAATCCTCCGATAAAGCTGCATTTTCTGTGTACAAATTTAAGAGGATCTCGTTATAGACTTGCAACGGGGTGTAGTAAACTATGCAACTCCCTTCGTGCTTTATCGGCTCACTATGGACTCCTGATTCTGCGACTTATACCAACAATCTTTAAGTTTGAGATTAACATGATCAAAACGCAAAGTGCCAAGAATGATCTCGAGTGGCAATTTGATCAACTAACAATAAGAGTAGCTACAAAGCACCCGTAAAATGATCACTGGTAATTTCGCTGGCCTGGCCGTGCTGGATTGGTCTGCTGGTGGAAGTAGCCTCCTTAGGTGAGTTCCATCTGGGTTCGATCCCGGGCAACAACCTAGTTATTATCTTCTTCAGCATCGGTCGGGCTCGCTCTGCTGGAGTGTTGTGGGATTAGTCGGGCGTAGATCCGAATATTCACAGTGATGACAAAAAAAAAAAAAAAAAAATTTTCGCTGGCCTGAGAATCAATTTGAAGCAGAAATTTGGATTCATTAGAATGAAATATTATACCTTACTTTGGTTTTTAATTTACGAGTGGTTTTCAAATACAAGGGAGAGAGTGCGTGTGTGTGTTCCAAATGGTTTTTATTGAGACATGTATACGGCCCTGTTTGGTAAGTGAGTTTTTTTTGTATTTGTTTAAAATTTTGCTATAGTTCACTGTAGAAGTCGTAGAAAAATTTTTTGAAGTGTGTAAATTTTTGAATATTTTGAAGTGTATAGTTTAAAAACTTTGAGAAGTTTTTTGAAGTTACTGTAATTAAGTTGTTAAAAAACTTGTAATAAATAAACATGACAAAAAACTTGCTTGCCAAACAGGTGATTCTTTGTTTGACTTGTGGATTCTTGGCTGGTGTGTTTGCTGGATTGGGATTAACCATTTTCTTCTTTTGCAATCTGCCTGGTTTAGAACACCATTTATCTTCACTCTTTTTTTCTTTAATGAATGTTTGATATAATTGCATTGCAAGTGGGCAGGCACTCTTTTTTTTTTTTTTTTGGTTGTTTTCATTTTATTTGAGCCTTATCAGTAGTTAAACGAGTCCAAAATTACATCCGTTTTTTAGACATTCACTACAATGAATTTTAAGTCCTCCTCTATTGCACTTCCTATTTTATCCTTAAAATGTTAATTAAATCACATGCCTGTCCACATTTTCGAGTGAAAAACAGATTGTAATTAGAGTTTGAAATGTTGGTATTGATTTGGAAATTTTTTTAAAAACTATTTTTGTATTTGGAGTCTATATTAACACTCAAAAAATAACTTAAAAATACACGCAATATCAAATACAACTTATAAAATTATCAAAAAATAAAAAAAAATCCCTATCACATCTTATTCTTCCACTTTCCATCCCCATCTTCTCTCTCTTCTTCTTCCTCCCCTGCTCTCCTTTCCCCAAATTTGGCCGCAACCAGAAAGTTGTGACCTTCTAGTAGCGACGAGGTCAAATTTATTAGGGAAGAGGAGAAGAAAGGGTCGAAGGGGGTGATAGAGAAGAGGAAGAACGAGGGGGGGAGCACGAGGAAAAAGGAGAAAAGAGGAGGAAGGGGGAGAGGAAGAAAAGTGATGATTGTCTTATTTTTATTTTTAAAAATATTTAAAAGAATTTATAAAATCTAAAAATATCGCAAAATATACCAAAAAAATACCTTGAAAAACACTAGTGATTAATTATGACTATTAAAAATTATTTAAAAATACCTCTAAAAACACGTAATTCATACAGCAGCGTGTTGTTACAAAATATAGTTGGGGGGGGCGGGGGGGTTGGTGGAGGCTAAAATGCTTCATTACAAGTATAGGTGGCTAAATTATTAGTATGCATCAAAGACGCAAGGGACAAGTTTTGGGAATCTTGTACCTTAATGATCATCAGCGTCCAAGTAAATCTTGAGCTGTCGGCCTTGCCCTAGCGAGTAGTACTTTTAACAGTTACCTTTCTTGGCTTCTCTCGCAACAGTTACAAATTCCCATTACCTCAACTCAACTCAACTCAACTGCGGCATCCCCCATATTCTCTCCACTCCTCTGTCTCTTCTGTCACTCTCTCCTATAAAATTTCAATCTGTTTTCCTCTGTTTCAACGAACAACTGGTGAAAAATGCCATTGGCGGCTCCACTTTCCCTCCTTTTTCGAAACCCTCCAATCATCATCACATAAATCTTAATCCCATTAATTGTTTTTAAATCCCCCCATTATTATTATTATTAACTCAAAACCAAAATCTTCCCATCACATTCTTTTTCAATCTTTCCAATTTTCAGTACCTTTGCTGAAAAATCACTTTCAAAAACATCCCTTTTACCCCCTTTCCCTCCATTCTCAAGTTCTTCCAAATTTTCCCTCCCCCCCCTTTTTCCAAAACCCTAAAATTTGGAAATTTTCAATTCCGTTTCCCTCCCAAAATTCCTCCATTTTTCTTCCACCTTTCCCCATTATGATGGAAACCCACCTAGATGAGCCCCTTGATATTCATCCTCCTCTGCTCAATTCGCTCGATTCCCCAAAAACCCTATCTGGGCCGTCACCCCCAATTTCACTTGAGAAAAACCTAAATTCTTTGGACTCTAACGATAATTTATCTCTGTCGAGCGAAGAAACTGTGCCGGATAACGATCCCTGCTCCGATTTTGATAGCTTGCTTGAAGATATTGACTCTAAAGATGGTGAAAATGAGGAGAATGAGTTGATTTGCCGCTGGCCTATCTACAATTACTCGCCCTACGGTGGTGGACCGTGGTCGAGGCTCCTTGATCCAAGGCCTAGCTCGAATCCGTGGATTTTGGGTGCGATGGAGTTGGAAGATCGCAAGGCTTCTGAGGGTTCTAGCTGGATTGGTTGGCCTTCTCCTACAGATTGTGGCAATAAGCCTATTGTTTCAAGTTGGTTGAGCGAAAATAAGTCTCCTGTAGTGGTATTGCACTTGAACTTTATGCGGGCAAATTTATAGTTCTAGCACCTTTGAATGCTTATTTGCTTCTGAAGCTTTATAGCAAGTGTTAGACATTAGTGTTTTTCCGTATTCTGCTGTGATTTTTCCGTAGCCTGTCGTTTTAGGTGGTGCTTGTAGCTCTCTACGATTTCTTTGTGTCTCTGGCTTGGTTTCCACGGTGGGGTGTATGTTATTTAAAACCTTTTGCATTATATGAGTTAGTCATTCAGTGTTGTGATATACCGAGTTTTTTAATCTAGCATGCTAGATTTAGAGGGAAAGTTGATTTTTCTTGAATTTGCTACCTCTTTATGTCACCCAAAACGAATTTTAGCAGTTATCGAGACAATGGCTTTTCCCCACAAAATTATCAGTTTAATGTTAGTAGAGTGAGGCAAGGGGAAGGAACACTCTGGGGCATCAGCTATTGATTATGATTACTGATTTTATGTTAAAAATTTGTAGGGTGCTGGGCTGGCAAATTTGGGTAACACATGCTTTCTCAATGCCATTTTGCAATGCTTCACTCACACTGTTCCACTACTCCAAGGGCTTCTTTCATCGAATCATAAAGTGCCCTGTGATAGTAAGATTGCTATACTTAATTGTTCCTTTACTTTCATGCTGCTTTCAAATTTTATTAATTTTTAAGAAACTGTCTTAGTTGGGTGAGCTTGGAATACGTTTTAATTTGTGTTGTATCTGATAGTTGTGCTTTAATGGTCTTTGCAGGTAACAGTGAAGGTTTCTGTGTATTTTGCAGCCTATATGAGCATATTCAGTTTTCATTGATCTCTACGGGCAAGATCATTTCGCCTTGGAAATTTGTTAACAACTTGAACTGTATCCTTTTCTACATGCTTTTCATTTGTTTGGCTGTAGCATTTCATTTTCATTACATAGATGTATAGTTGTTATTCGTGATCTACAGTGGTCTGGACGGTTGACTTTTCAATCAAAACTTGTACTTTTGTCCAAAAACCTGGAGAAAATTGTATTGGTTTTGCTGGAAATGTTGTCACTTATTCTTCATCTTTGAGTTGTATAAGAGTTCTGGGTTTTGGCTCATTTGTCAGTGCAATTATTGTGTCTAGGAGATCTTTGTGTTCCTTAATTTTTCAACTGCCAGATTTTTCATCTAGTTTTCGGAGGTTTCAGCAGGAAGATGCTCATGAATTCCTCCAATGCTTTTTGGATAAGCTGGAAAGTTGTTATGGTGGTTTTGAATGTAACAACACTCTGCATTCTGGGAGTGACAACATGGTGAAACAAGTCTTTGGTGGTCGTCTTATAAGCATGGTAAGAAAACAGCTGTTTTTACTGCTTCTTTCTCTCAATTGGTTTTTCTGCTTCCTTATGAAACAATGTCACTCATGTATATGAATTGTTTACTAGTGCCAGCTTTTTGCTCTTTGGCATTCATGTGGCTAGTTAAACTGATGTTATTACGTAATTGTATTGAACTTCAAAATTGCAGCTGGGATGTTGCAACTGTGGTCATTGGTCTGACACTTTTGAGCCATCAATTGACCTTAGTTTGGAGATTGAGAATGCAAGCGATCTTCATACGGCTCTGGAGTCATTTACTAAGCTTGAGAAACTTGAAGACCCGGAAATGAAATTTACATGTGAACATTGTAAGGAGCAGGTGTCGGTTGAGAAGCAACTTATGTTGGACCAGGTCCCTTCAGTTGCTGCATTCCATCTTAAGAGATTTAAAAATGATGGTTCTTTCGTTGAGAAGATTGACAAGTATGTAAAGTTTCCCCTGGAATTGGATCTGCAGCCTTACACTATTTGTGATCAAAATGAGGAGGTGCACAATCTGTTTTCCCTGTGTAATAATTGAGTAGTTGACTGAACTCCTTTATGGATGGATGACTTTGAAGCATATGTTCATGTGTTAAGTTGCACAAGTAGTAATTATAAGTTTATTTGATGTTTTTAAGTGGTTGTGTCAGGATGTGTGTTATGCAGCTTGTTTATTAGTATTGATGTAAATACTTGGTAAGATAATTTTTAGATTGACATGTGCAATTAGCTTTTGATTAGTGGTGTTCAATTTATTTGAGTTGCTAATTAACTCCTGTTCATGTAAGTGGTCTGTGTTCCTTGTATGGGTAGAGTGTTTTGTGGTGTCTTGCACTTGGTATGGATGAAGAATGTTGTTGGATGATTATGAAAAATTTAATGTGCCGCCAGTAATGATGAAAATTTTGTTTGACAGGAGTTGAAGTATGATTTATTTGCAGTAGTGGTGCATACTGGATTTTCATCTACCTCGGGGCACTATTACTGCTATATTCGTGTTGCTCCTGATGAATGGTATAGATTTGATGATTCTAAGGTAAATAGCGTTGTATCTAATGACTCTTGAATCACTATTTTTTAGAACCTTTTATTCTACATGCTGATGCAGGAGCCTTATAAATGGCACACAGATACAAGATTTTCTTTCTTATGAACTCATTTGTTTGATTGTTCACCTGAGTTACTAATTTGGATTCATTGACTAATATAAGTGTAGGTTGCTCTAGTGGGTAAATGCTCTCTTTTCCTTCATATATTGCTCAAGTGCTATATGAATCTGATAGGCATTCGTTTGC